AAAAAAAAAAAAAAAAACGCGCGATACTGCTGCTGCCGTACACCCACCGCACCGAAAGGGAATTCGGGAGCATTGCTTATTGTGAATCTCCTCTGTCTTTCACCGCCCCCTATCTACAATTAATCCCACAAGCGATACTACCCCTGCCGTATAACCACCACACCAGAAAGGGAACGCGAGAGCGTCGCCAATTTCATCCCCCTGGGTCCTTTCACACACACACACACCACTTCCCACATACACAAACGCGCACTCCGCCGTACACCCACCACAACCGACGAAAAGGGAATGCGGGAGCACCTGGAATCCGAGGGGGCCCGTGGAATCAAGCGTTGCCCCAGCTTACGGGATGCTCTCTTGTCGGTCGGGTCCGGGAGGAGGATTTCGATAGACAGGTCCCTCTCCGGCCGAAGCCTGCTGTCGCCGTTCGCGGATTCGGAGGATGGAGATGGCGGCGGCGGAGGGGGGACGGGGGACGCGTTTTTGTCGACGAACCGGAACGTCGAGATAAGTTTTGCGCGAGCCGAGGGAGTGCATTTTGAAAAATGTTTTTGCGGGGCTTTGTTCGGTCCCCTTGCTGTTGATTGGTTGTTGTTGCTGCTATTGATATCGTTGCCGCTGAAACCGAGCAGGAGCGAGGGAGTGAATTTGTCGTAATTTTTGCGGCGCCCGTGTTGTTTGTTGGGTCCGTTGTGATTTGCTTGTTGTTGTTGTTGTTGTTGTTGTTGTTGGCATGATGGTTGTCGACGCCGCTGAAAACGGGCATGGGCGAGGGAGTGAATTTGTCATGTTTTTTTTGCGGCACCCGTGTTGTTTGTTCGGTCCCGTGTGATTGCTTGTTTGTTGCTGTTGGTATCGTGCCGTTGGTATCGTGCCGCTGAAAACGAGCCAAGAGGAGGAAGCTCCCATGCACCTAGGCCAAGTGATTGAGCGGCGTTTCCGGATTCTGGCTCTCGCGCGATAGCCCACCCCCCTCCCGCATTCTTCCCGACCGCGTTGTATCTAACGTTTCCAAGTCCCACCCGCCCCGCCCCCCCCTTATTTTATTCAACAGCACGACGGGTTCGCAAAAGCGGCGCGATCGTTCGACCGATACCTGCCGGCGGTTCGGGTGCTGTCAATCTTGTTCATCCTGTACATCTCGCTGTTCTGGGTGCGATATCAGATGCGGGGCGGCGGGGGGGGGGAATGGGGGAGGAAGACGGCCGGCGGTAGCAATGAGGAGCTTATGCGTCTGTATGGGGTAAGTGTCGTTGGGGAGGGGAGGGGGGTTGTACTCATCGCCGTGCATGCCGTAGTCGTTAGACCATTGACCTCGCATCCCTACAAAGCCGGGACGGAGCACGCCGGGTTCTCACCGGACCAGGCTCTCACATCACCAAGCGCGAAGCGCCGTGAGGTATTCGGCGAGCCGCATGGAGGGTGCGCTTGATCCTACTAAGGGTTTTCGGCATCTTGTGCTTACTCCCTTGCATACGGATGACACCTGGATATATCTTAATTTATTTTCTGGTCTTTCACTTCCAGAGACAGTTGTAAGCACTGTGTAACTGCCTCGAGGGTGCTTGACCAATTTAACACCGATGCGATTGCCCCCTTCGCGCGGAGTGAGGGTTGACGACCCCACACAACATAATCTACTCGATCACCATTCATGGTTACCGCAAAAAACAAAAGCGGCAACCTGGTTGCCGAGCTTACGAAGAGATCGGCTTGTCTTACAATATCGCTGCCAAGCGACGAAAACCCGACACCGATGGCAAACACCGGGGGGG